GGCTTCTTCTCCAGGGGGTTGCTGCTCCGCTCCTGCTCCTTCCTCTGTGGGGCACAAAGAGAGACAGACACAATCCAGGCAGGAGACATTGTGCATCCTGGGATGAGGAAGGCGGGAAAGCGGTAGGAAAAGGAAGGCATGGAGGGATTCCTCCTCTACTTTTTTAATTCCAGGTAAAGCAAGGCGTCCCCGATTCCCATCGCACCTCTCTGCCACCAACAGGGTGATTAATCCACCACCACCTCCGCTGCACCCCCATGGACCGCTCCAGAAATTCGGGAAGGGGGTCCAGCATTTCCATTTTGGTCACGGCATCCCTCTGGTCTCTCCTCCGCAGCGTTTTCCTTCCATGCCATGGCCAAACTGGGGCTTGCAGCCTGGGGTAGGGCTGCGATCGGAGGCTCACCTGGGGCTGGGGTCTCCCGGGGCACGTGGAGATCCAGGGCTGTAGGTTCATCCCCGTGGTCCAGGCGGGATAGCAGATCGGGCTTGGAAACTGGGAATTCTGGAAAAGAGAGGGGAGATGAGCAACGTGGATCAGGAGGGTCTGCCCTCCCCAGCAGCCCCCCAACCTCAGCACCCCTTTTCATGAAGACGTGAGGATCCAGCAAGCCAAGACCCTCCGCCCATCCCGAATTTTCCGCCGGGGGGGAAGCAGGCTCCTCACCCAGCGCCATCAGCGTCTCGTAGCTCTCCTGCATCACGTCGCGATACAACGCTCTCTGTCGCGGGTCCAGCAGCACGTACGGCTCCATGGCTGGTGCCAGGAGACCCCCTGGAAGAAGGAGAAAAAAGCCCCTTGTCGGCGGAGCCTGGTGTTCCCCCTGCAAGGAGAAGGTGACCTCCATTCCTTACGCTGCCGCCTATTTTCCCAGATCTCACAGGAACTTTATGCCCTCTGCCTGTATCAAATTTGGCTGAACATTTTTTTTTTCCCCAAAGTTAATGGGGAGGAGGAAGCAGAAGGGGAAAACAGAGACACAGACAACATGATTCCTTAAAAAACAAATGGAAAAAAAGAGAGATAAAACCCAGGCTCGGAAGAACTGAGAGATCCCTACCCTAAAATTCATTTTATCTAACAGCTAATTCCTACTGCTCCAAACCCTACAGGATCTTTCACCTTCCCAGAGGCTCCTGCCCCAAATTTTCCACAACTTCCCCCCCAAAAAAAACCCAGAGCGATTGCTCCTTCTCCTCAAAGAGGATAAACCCTCTGGTTATTCCTCTACGCAAACCTCCAGCGCTGGGGTAAACCCAGGAATTTTCCCAGCAGTAGGAAGAGGGTTTGGTGTCCTCCTTTGCAAAAAATCATGTAAAAGCAAATTACCACCACTCCCCCCCCCTTTCCTCCTCCTCCTCCTCCGTAAGCAGCGGGAGCATTAGGATCTCAATGCGTGGGTTGATTTATTTGTTGGGTTTTTTTTCTTTCCTAGCAGCAGAGCTGTTATAGCTGCGGAGGACGGAGGAGGTCTGTTGGAAAAAAGTGGATTTGCAGAATATCGTTGCCGACTTACTGATGCCAGGAATAAAAAGGAGATTTCAAGCACGGACCGCAGACCTCCTCCTGCAATTTTTGCCTTTTTTTTTATTGTTGTTTGCTTTTTCCGCAGCCTCCACCAACATCTCAGCCCGCTTCATTTATTCCCCCGGGGAAGTTTGCCATCCTGCTA